GGTCACAAGAGTGTGACAAACATACAAAAGAAGTAGAGGAAAATGACGATAATAAGGACTAGGAAAGAAAAAGCAGCAGTTCCCTGTTGTAGTTCAGGCACAGTTATGAGCATGACATTGTTGGATCAGCCCATTTACAATTCTACTGTGCATTAGAATGAGAAATGTCCCCCCCCCTTGGGAATGGCCTAAAGACGCTTCAGTCAGAGTGACAGTTTAAGAGAACTCGCAACAAAATGAGGTCACATATAAGTGCCACAGTTTAAAGGTGTTACTAGAAAGTAACATACAAAAAAAGGAGACGAGAAAAGGACGATAGGTATTTGATAGGAAAAAAAGAGTAAACTACACCAGAGCACCCACCAATTACTCACACATGCACATCAAATCAAGGCGTCAAGTTCTTTTTCTGAGAAGGCTTAGCTGTACAAAATTGCTCAAGCGGACTTGATACAGACAGGAGCTGAACACTTATTTTATGTCCCAACAACTTTTACTAGGCTAACTAACCTTGTCAGAGATATGCAATATACAAACAAGTGTCGTTGTGTCTATGGGCAGCTTAAAAAAAAACCCTGCTTTTTTTCACACCCTCTTAAACATAATTTAGGTCATTTAAGAGGCAGGCTGTTTTAACTCTAGAAAGTAACATACAAAGAAAACAAGAAGAGATAAGGACGACCGATATACGATACGAAAGAGGAAGCAAACCACACGAGAGCACCCGCCAACTATCCACATACAGGCCCCTCAATAGCAGTACAAACCTAGGGAGATGAGGAGCAATGTGCCGCACTACCAGTGTCTTGGTCCAAGTAGAGCCAGAGTTGTTGATGTTATATCACACTTAACCCTATCCGTACGCCCTGGGGTCATTTTGTACCCCCAGGGTTGTATTCTTCACATTTTAGAATACTTCTAATACAAAGACCTCGTTGACACTTTCAGATTTTCTCAAAATCATTTTGGCAGACTGCTATGCAAAGAGTACGGATCGGATTAACGAGTATGTTTCCTTTTTGAAAGTGATGGCACAGAGTTCCCCATGTCGTATGGATATGATAGTAAAACATGACGTACAGATAGGGTTAAGACTTAAAGTTAGACCCATAGGACAACAACCTGCCCCACCACATGGGAAATTTTGAATTCAAAGAAAACAAAAACAAGATCCAAACTCCAACCATAAATTGAAAGGAAAATAAAAACCCACAGTGAAACAGAGTAGAACTTCCATTCACAAAATCATATTGGTATTGTCTTTTATTCCTTCACTCAGACTTAGACAACTCAGAGAGAGCGTTGTTTTTACTTTGTATAACAAATAACATACAGAGATGCATGTATGTACTTTAATTGAAATTCTCCATACACAACATCAATCTCTTGGCCAGCCGTTGTATTTTGACATACAGGTGACATATATATTCATAGAGAACGCAATGCAATATCGGCAGTTTTAATTCCAACTAGGTGATAGCTGCGTAATGAATTTTAAAAAATCTTATTTGTCTGGTGTTGTAGGGCCTACTGCAGGGGAAGATATCAAGCATCTGGTTCAGCATCCACAAAATCTAACAGCATTTCTTGCACATGTTCAGGATCAGGCTGGAACAGAGAAAAGGAAAACAAACAATGAGACAGTGGATTTGAGAACCTTTTTGAAATTAAAAAAAAATAAAAAATAGGGGGTTCTCATGGCCTAGAGGTTAAGGTGTTCGCCTCTCATTCAATAGGTCCCGGTTCGAATCGGGAGAGTGACGTAAATTTTTCTTCTCTAAAATTGTATCTTTTCACCTCCTTTCTTTCTCTCTAACAATGTTCTGCCGTCTGCTTTCGCCTCCACTTTCTGCCCTCACCCTCTCACCTCCTTCGCTCCCTCCTCTGGGCTTCTGGCTTTTTCTGCAGCCTTTCTTCTACTACACCCTGGCTCCTTCTTACAGCTGTCTTTCACAACCACACCCCTGATCTTATGGTAGGAAAGATCTACACCTAGCCTTCACAGACAAGGGCGAAAAATCTTGGAGGTCCCATGTGTAAGTTGCGCACATTAAAGTTAAAGATCCCTTGGTGGTCCAAAAATCGACAAGAGTAGGCTTCGGCTGCCACGCGGATAAAATTCAAAATTTCCTACCAACTGAATATCATGTTTAATGTGTCCTGCGCACTCGTACGACCTTATGCAGCTGCGAGCCCAGTAAAACACTTTTTTAAAAAAATACCCCCAAAAAAAGAAGTAACTGTGATACTTGAGAGTGAGAGAGAGAGAGAGAGAGAGAGAGAGAGAGAGAGAGAGAGAGAGAGAGAGAGAGAGAGAGAGAGAGAGAGAGACAGAGAGAGAGAGATAGATAAAGACGGAGACAAAGAAATGTGTCACAACGTGGTGGAATAAGGCGCTCGTCAATTTTTGAACGTGTGGAGTTATTATTGATATCATCTGAAACCTTAATTCATTTGTGTGGCTTTCAACGAAAAAAACATCTATCTAGCTTGAATAGAAGTCGAAATATTTGCGATTGAAGGAGGAGAAGTAATCTGGTCTCAGGGGTAAAATTACAAAGAAAATGACCTTAAAGTTGGGTAACTTCAATAGCTTAACCCTTAGTTTTAACATTCGCTCCATCCATCAAAGCACTGTGATCTCTCCATCCCCACAAAGGAGAAGTGAGAGGTATGGTGGGCCTAGATAATCTAAACTAGGCTGGCCTATCACGTGATGCGTTCTGCTCGTCTGCGCATGCAACACCCTCCCCACTAATTCGCTCCGGCCTTCTTTGTTGGCACACGTGAGCTCTCCCATTCTTTCTTTCGCTAGATCACCAACAAGTTTCTCAACTGGCGAGGTTTTACATATTATTGGCCTATGCGTTGCCCACAGCAGCAGCAATATTCCACTATAACTGACTCGCGTGTTTGTCTGATTGCGCTATTGTAGTATTTTACTTACAAAGATAAAGAATGGAAAAAAAGGGTTTTTTAGAATAGTGTCTTTCTAACAGACTTCTCGTTATTTCAGGACTCGTTATAAGTGGACTCCACTGTAATTCCAAATCCTCATGACAACTGCTACATTTGATTTTTCAGATCATGTATACAAAACAGGGGAGATGAGTATATTCAACGGACATCTTAACAGTCCAAAAATAGCAAGCACAGTAAAGTCATTGTGTAATGTGCCATAGAAAAAAAAAGACAAAAGACTGAAGCAAATACACTTCAGTGCATACCTCAGTTTGAATTTCTTCCGTTTTCGTATCCTGATTTGACGTGACGACCCGCATTTTCTTTACATCTGACTTTTCAATGTCTTTGTCTGATGAAACAGCTCGTTTCTGAGGGATATAAAGAACAAAAAATGAGTTAAATATGCACACATTTCGGCTTAACAAGAGTTTTACAGCACTCGATACACAATCAAGTCTTGTAATTGCTGTTAACATGAACATACACAATAGTTCAGTTTAGCTCTCAGTACAAGAATAAGAATGGAAGGTACAGTAGCTAATCCTAAGAACCAATACGGTGATTGGCATGTGCTTTGATGCGGTATGCTCCTTCTTTCCTGTCAAACATCTATTGTCCTTATCTCGCCTCCTTTTTGTGTTTGTTACTCTCTTGTAACACTTTTAATCTTCAGCACTTTATGACCTAACTGTGTTGCAGGTGCCGTAAAATACTTACTAAAACATATTCAAACAATCATGCTAAAGCAAAAGCTACATCATTGCTCCTCATGTCTTTAACTGGATCTTCTTATCATACCTGTCAGCCTCATTCAAATGAATGAAAACAGGGTCGTTCTTGAGCTTGTCGCAATTTGTAAGGAAAACATCTTCACAATGAAAGATAAATTACAGTAGGACTGAACCCTTTCGGCCCTGATTTCTAGAGCCTAAAGGCCCCATGCAGCTGAATGCTTTTAGGCAATCTGACAGAGTCACGCTACAATTCAATACTGAAGTGGACAATCACTATAATATAGATTAAGACCTAGGGTTCAAAATATGTCAGGAGTGGGCCAGATCTAGACAGACAGTCCGCTGACAACGAAACATGAGACTTCTGTCCTGGCTAACTTCTGTCCTGGCTAACGAGCTTATGTGAAAATCAGCGCCGACAATAACAATGCATACCCCCTGGCAATGAAAGGGTTAAAAAGAGTTAATAAGAGCTACAAGAGACAAGGCATGAATGATGAATAACATTCACCTTAATTTGAGGTGACAGACCGCTATTTGAATGCGACCCAGGCTTGCTGTCCAACTCTGGGGTCTCCGCAGTACTGGAGTTCATCTGAAGACTCTTTTTCTTCTTTCCTTTCCTTTTTCGTTTCCCCTTTCTAGCATCTTCCATCTTCGTGTGCACTTCTTTTTCTTCTTCTAAGTCTTTCAGGCTTGTTTCTGCCAAACTTGTTTCTTGTTCTTCTTCCTCATTTTCTCTGTTCACCTCCATTTCAGAACCATTGTCAGGTAGCACCACATCATCTTGGTCATCTGGTGAGTCATGTTCAGACTCTTCTGCATTGTTCCTTTCCTGAAATTTAAATTTCATACATTTGTTTCAGCTGTTATATGGGAAGGTACGTGACAAGACAGTTAGTTTGTTAAGGAGACAGGTCATTTTAACATACTGGGCTGAACGAAACTGCAGTTTAGCAGACAGACACATCTGCTCAATAAAATACTTTCTCCTACAGACCATCCAACCACTCAATGACCAAAATTAACAATTTTCCTCAAAAGCCTCCCAGAAAATAAGTTTGAAAAAAAAAAAAAAAAACAGTCTCCAGAACCCTCATAGATTACGATTATATTACAAACCAAGATTGGCATAGAAACATGTATAGCAAATACAAGAAAATTACAATGTGTATTTTCACGTCATTTATGATAAGTTGCGCAAATACTGCAAACAAACGCAAATAAAAATGTGTCTTATTATGTCAAATACAACCAATGTAGATGGAATTCAATAAAAAAAATTTTTAAAGCATATTTGAGGTTCTACCATGGGTATAGACACATCGGAGAGCTTCGATTTTATCGGAGTACTTGGCAAGTCTGCCCCTAGCACAAAATAAAATCTACGTCTTCTGCTTGTAACCACACGGAGCCAAACAATTACATACAGACGCCAGTGGGAACATACTTTTATACAGTAATAGAAAAACTTTGAGAAGCGTAAAGGATTTGAAGTGAATACAGTCTTCAAAAAAACAACATAGCATTACACAGCACTAGGTCAAATACATTGCAACTGCGCTAACAGAGAGTAACGAAATAAAGTGTTCTCAAGGGAATTCTTTAAACGCTCAATAGATGTTTACGTATAGGTTCTATACTTGTTGTTGACTCACAAATTCAAAGCTACACACTCAGCATAACCCCTTAAAGAGATGGGAGATGTGGTGCAGGATAACCCGTAGCTGCTGTTTGCTGCCACAGGGACAGGCAAGTGTCTTTGTTCGCCGCTGTTTATGTAGGCTATATATATGGCCAAAATTGTAATAGGAATGACCACTTGGTCCATTTATTCATTATTTATTTTACCCTGTGGTTCCCACTCACCTTTTGTGTCTTTCTTTTTCTTCCCTATTACATTCATCCAAAGACTGTCACTCATAAATCTGTTAACTCAAAAACTCAATGGGGGCTCTCATGGCCTAGAGGTTAAGGTGTTGGCCTCTCATTCAAAGGTCCCGGGTTCGAATCCGGGTAGCGACCGAAAAATTTTCTTCTCTAAAATTGTCTACTTTCACCTCCTTTCCTGCTCTCTAGCAATGTTCTGTTGTCTGCTTTCATTTCCACTTTCTGCCCCCACCCCCTCACCTCCTTTGCCCCCTCCTTTGGGCTCCTGACTCTTTCTGCAGCCTTTCTACTGCTACTCCTTGGCTCCTCCTTACTGCTGTCTTTCTGCCACACCCCTGATCTTCTGGTAGGAAAGATCTACACCTAGCCTTCTCGGACAAGGGCGAAAAATCTCGGAGGGCCCGTGTGCAAGTTGCGCACGTTAAAGATCCCTTGGTGGTCTAAAATCAATAAGAGTAGGCTTCGGTCGCCACCCGGGCAAAATTCAAAATTTCCTACCAGCTGAAAATATTAGGAGTGTCCCGCGCGCTCATATGACCTATGCAGTTGCGAGCGCCGTAAAACACTTTACAAAAACAAAACAACAAAAACTCAATTTCAGAATATATGAACTTGTTGGGTGTCGTAATATCTTGGGGCCAGTCACAATTCCACAGTGTGTTTCCCAAGTCTGCTAGCATTAGAATAAAAAAACTCACCTGAATCTGAGCAGCTCTCAGGGTTACAATTTCCTGTTGTAACGATGCCACCAGCCGGGCCTGGTTGTGTCTCTCCATTTCCACCTCCAGCATTCGTTTTCTCAACGAGTCGTTTTCTTCGGTTAATTTTTCTACTTCTCTCACAGTTTCAGACAAGTCTTGGGATTCATCCTGCACCGAGCAATCAAACAAAATATTTTCAATGTTTTCAACAGCATTAACATCACAATGTTATTTCATGCCTAAAAGCAAAATAAAATAAAAAAAAAAAACACACAAAAATCTGGAAAAAACAGGAGAAGAAAAACAGTATGAAAAAAGAAAAAAAAAGAAGGAATAAATAACAATAGTCTAAATAAGTATAATAGTATCAACATTTCAACTGCACTGAAAACCAAGCAAAAGACACTTTCATTAAGTAAGTGGGATGCGACAATAAATGTACAAACAAGTTCAAAATGAATTAAAAAAACAAAACAAAATCAAGTAAGAGCCTGTTACAAAGTATCATAAGAAGCCATAAGTTATGTCCCTCATCATCACCCACACTGTAAGAAGCGGAGGAAACCGTGTATGGTACAGAATTTTTTGGGAGTCATCACAGTAGCGATCTCAGAGGGGATTGTTTTGTACTTTTGTAGACAGACACATGCACTTTTCTTTACACAAGTTATATATCAGTTGGTATTATATAGGGCTATGGTACGGATGACACTGGTTCAAATCTCCAAACAAGTGTTCCTGAACTTTGGTTGTTAGGGGGAGTTTTAATGGCTCTCCACCTACTTGGCTCTAACCTATCTGAGAGATGAACGTTAAATTTTTAAGTCCCATAAAGAGTCCGATATAGAGTTGAGAGGGATGTTCAACCCATATATTTCCCAATTTTCTTCGGTTCTATATTTTTAAAAACATTACCAGGGGGACACTCACTTCGTCATTAGGTAGAACTTTCTTCTGTATTGGTCCTTAGAGGCTTCCAAGAGAAAACCAAAACAAAATAAAAGAAAAAAATTTCTTTAAAATAACATAAGGAGTGACACTCACTTTGTCATCAGGCAAAACTTTCCTCACAATTGGTCTTGACAGGCTTCCCAAAGAATGCATGGAAAAGAGACGTTCTTGGCAAAAGCTGCGTACCTGGAAGACATCAGTTTTCTCACTTTACTCATTAACAAAGACAACGAAAGTGAAAGATAAAAAAAGTACAGACAATCACATATGCCGGCTTGCCAACCTTTAAAAAAAACAACCCAATCGAGATACCTAATGTTATAACATGAGATTACGCAGCAGCAAACAAAATTACTTCAAGTGAGACTAGATTGCGTGTAGATCTAGTGTATATGATAAAGTTACGATCACAGTGAAATTAAGCCAGAAATAGTAAACTAACATCACAAAAGAAGTTCAAAATTTAGCCCACTGAAAAGGCAGAGGCTAAAAAGGAAAACGTTCTCTTAAATTTCTGATTGCTGAATCTGGGGCAGCCCTTGGAAATTCGTGACGGTAAACAAGCCTGTACATGAGGTCGAAGAGCATGATGCATGACATTGGAAAATGCCATTAACAATTACACAGAAACACAAACAAACAGGAGCGTATTGCAAAACATATAAACATATGTGTTTTTGAATGAAACACCTTTCCAAACCGTTTTAAAGTGAACATAGAAAGATACATTCAGCTTTAATGCTATAAAACTTAACCTCCTGATCCTAAAAGACCTGGCCTCCGGAGCTAAAGTATGCAAGAACGCATATACAAAGCACGGAAGGAGTGAAAGCAGGCAAACAAATAACTGAAACATAAGAAAGCTCATCATAATATTTTACAGGAGGTCTGCGTTATAACTACTGCCAGTACTCTCCCGCTGTACGCAGTCCAACGTGGATTCCCAACCACATCATCTACAGAAGCTGTTATGGTGCTGCATCCTCTTCTTCTAGCCATAGATCAAGTTCTACATGTACACATAAAT